AAATCGAATCGTGGATCGAATCGATTCGGGACCTTGTGAATCGGAATTGAATCGATTCTAGAAATCAGTGACGATACCCAGCCCTACATCATACTAACAGTCAAACATGATAGTGGTAGTGGGGTGGTCTGGGGCAGCTTTAAGAGCTGAACAACTGCCATGATTGATCAAACGGTGAATTCTGCTGTCTACCAGAAAATCCTGAAGGAGAATGTTCAGCAGTCACACTTGAATGATGCAGTGGGTCAATGATCCAAAACACACCAGCAAGTCCACCCCTGAATGGCTCAAAAATAAATTAATAAATGAAGGCTTTGGAGCAGCCTTGTCAAAGTCAGGACTGAGAAAACTGCGAAGCTTTAGCATGACAACACAAACACTTGGTGGTAGTTCTTGCTGTGAAGGGTGTCAAAACCAGTGATTAGGTTTAGGGGACAATTACTTTTAAAATATAAAATGCAATTTGTTTGATGATCTGAAACATAAGTGTTACAAATGTAGGAAACACTAAGAAATCAGAAACGGGGCAAATACTTTTACACGGCACTGTATCTGGATGCATAAAAGGTTAATTGCATATATAACTGTTAATACTGCAAAGTTCAGATATAGCTGCATAGTGGTGTGGAAATACTGACTTTAAAAGGGCGGGGGAGGTCCGGCTTTGTGTATCGGAGGTAGATCAAACCCAGCACCACCACACCGATGAACAGCCATCGCAGGAAGCTCATGAAGTTCAACAGACTGTAGATGTCTCCAACTAACAGCTGGAGCATGGTCATAGGGTACTGTATATTCACATACACATCCAAATACACACACACATACAAGACGGTTGTATTTCCATCAGTCAAGACTGTGTATTTACAGTGTGGATTTACAGTAGGTTTTATGGACTGATGAATCAAAACTTGAAATCTTTGGTTCCTTCTTCACAGGCTGTTTTACTGGATCCAGGGTCAGTGATAGGAGCCTTGAAACAAAATGGCTGTCGCAGCATTCTGGATTGCCATGCAATACCCTCTGGTATGGATTAAAGATGGACCGATCTGATATTACGTATCAGTATCGGTCTGATACTGACCTAAATTACTGGATCGGATATCGTAGAGAAATAAAAAATGTAATCCGATCCATTAAATATTTCAAAAGCACCTCACAAAACTTGCGACATAGTGTAGCCCAGCTCATAACCTTAGCACGTCGAAGCAGTATGCGTCACGTGATAGAGCAGCTGTGGCGTGCGAGACCTGTCGGCGGCCTTAGCGGAACTGTTTCGAGGTGACCGACTGGGAAACACTCTGTGAGCCTCACGCCGAGGACATCAATGGGCCTACTGAGTGTATCACAGACTACATAACTTTCTGCACCGACTCCATTGTTCCAGCTCAGACTGTTCATTGTTACCCAAATAACAAGCCGTGGGTGACTAAGGACATCAAAGCCCTCCTCAACAACAAGAAGACGGCTTTCAGAAGGGGGAAATAAAGAGGTGAGGAAGGTCCAGGTGTTACTAAAGGACAAGATCAGAGAGGTTAAGGACAATTACAGGAAGAAGCTGGAGTGGAAACTCCAGCAGAACAGCATGAGAGAGGTGTGGAGGGGCATGAAGACCATCACTGGATTCAGGCCAACCAACAGCAGGGGAGCTGAGGGAGGTGAGAATAGAGCCAACGAGTTGAATCTGTTTTTCAATAGATTCGACATCACAGTGTCTGCTCCCACCCCCACAACCTCACCTGTAGTCTGCCTGGAACCCAGAGCCACACCACTGTGCCAGCCTCTCTCCACATGGCACTGTGGCCTCCTGTGAGATTCCTGACACCCCTCCTCCACCCATCACCTTCACTCAATACCAGGTCGAGATGCAAATGAGGAGTCTTCACTCAGGCAAGTCTGCTGGACCAGACGGAGTGAGTCCCCTCGTCCTCAAGACCTGTGCCCCCCAGATGTGTGGAGTCTTTCATAAACTGTTTATGCTGAGTCTGCAGAGGGTCCCAGTGATGTGGAAGACATCATGCCTCGTCCCTATTCCAAAGATACCACGTGTCCTGGATTGTTGATTACCTGACAGAAAGACCACAATATGTACGTCTCCCACAGTGTGTGTCTGACAAGGTAATCAGCAACACAGGGGCACAACAGGGGACTGTCCTCTCCCCCTTCCTCTTCACCCTCTACACCACAGACTTCAGCCACTGCACAGAGACCTGCCATCTTCAGAAGTTTCCTGATGACTCTGCGGTGGTTGGATGCATCAGCAGGGATGATGAGACAGAGTACCGGGCTGTGGTCGACTCCTTTGTCACGTGGTGTGAGCAGAATCATCTGCAGCTCAACATGGCAAAGACCAAGGAACTGATCATGGACTTCAGGAAGACCAGGAAACACTTGACCCCTGTTTCAATCCAGGGGGTCAGTGTTGACATTGTGGAGGACTATAAATACCTTGGAGTTCACATTGACAATAAACTGGACTGAGCTAAAAACACCACAGCGCTTTACAGGAAGGGCCAGAGTCGTCTCTATTTTTTGAGGCGACTGAGGTCCTTCAACATCTGCCAGAAAATGCTCAAGATTTTCTACGAGTCTGTTGTGGCCAGTGCGATCCTCTATGCTGTTGCATGCTGGGGGAGCAGATTGAGCGTCGCAGATGCCAATAGACTCGTTAAACTGATCTGTAAGGCCAGTGATGTTGTGGGGATGGAGCTGGACTCCCTCAAGGTGGTGTCAGAGAGGCGGATGTTTTCCAACATAAAAACAATGTTGGATAACACCTCCCACCCACTCCATGACATGCTTGTTAGTCACAGGAGCACATTCAGTGAGAGACTGAGATCATCGAAAAGCACCACTGAACGACACAGGAAATCTTTCCTGCCTGTGGCTTCCTGTACAACTCCTCCACTTAACACACTGTTTACTGCAACAGCTACACCCTTTTTGCACATGTTCATTTTCAGCTATTTATTTATAAGGTACTTTTATGTGTATATATATGCCTGTATATGTTGTGCTATTCTTAGTTAGTGTACTATCCCTTAAACTTTTTCCCTGAATCCGTTCAGTCAGACTTGACAAAAACTGGAAAAATTGGGGTGTTCTAAAACTTTTGACTGGTAGTTTAGTTACTTTCCACTATGTTCCTACTCCATGATAAACTACAAATTTACCCCAAATTACTACTATTGATATTTTAATATGAGAATCAAATTCTAGAAAATAAATCAGGCCCCATCTTATCATTTTATCCTTACCTTAAAGACGCTGCTGGTTGCTAATTTACTTGTGATGGGTAACAAATAAGCAGAACTGCTTTCTTCCATTTCCACAACATCTCTAAAATTAGAAATATCCTGTCTCAAAGTGACACTGAAAAACTAGTTCATGCATTTATTACATCCAGGGTGGAAGACTGTAATTCATTATTATCAGAACGTCCTAAAAACTCGCTGAAAAGCCTTCAGCTAATCCAAAATGCTGCAGCAAGAGTCCTGACAGGGACTAGAAAGAGAGAGCAGATTTCTCCTGTTTTGGCTTCCCTGAATTGGCTTCCTGTTAAATCCAGAATTCAAAATCCTGCTCCTCACATACAAGGTCTTAAATAATCAGGCCCATCTTATCTTAATGACCTTGTAGTACCATATCACCCTATTAGAGCACTTGGCTCTCGCTCTGCAGGCCTACTTGTTGTTCCTAGAGTATTTAAAAGTAGAATGGGAGGCAGAGCCTTCAGTTTTCAGGCCCCTCTTCTGTGGAACCAGCTTCCAGTTTGGATTCAGGAGACAGACACTATCTCTACTTTTAAGATTAGGCTTAAAACTTTCCTTTTTGCTAAAGCATATAGTTAGGGCTGGACCAGGTGACCCTGAATCCTCCCTTAGTTATGCTGCAATAGACGTAGGCTGCCGGGGATTCCCATGATGCATTGAGATTTTCCTTTCCAGTCACCTTTCTCACTCACTGTGTGTTAACAGACCTCTCTGCACTGAATCGTACCTGTTATTAATCTCTGTCTCTCTTCCACGGCATGTCTTTATCCTGTCTTCCTTCTCTCACCCCAACCAGTTGTTGCAGATGGCCCCACCCCTCCGTGACCATGATTCTGTTGGAGGTTTCTTCCTGGTAAAAGGGAGTTTTCCCTTCCCACTGTTGTTCATAAGGGGTTGTTTGAGTATCAGGATTTTCTCTGTATTTGTGTAGGGTCTTACCTTATAATATAAAACACCTTGAGGCAACTGTTGTTAGGATGTTGTTCTATATCAGTGAAACTGAATTGAATCTCTAACCTTCCTACAATTTTTGTCCAAAAAAGTGCAGAAAGCTCAGACAGAATTGTTTTCAGGACTCATGACATCTATTAGCTCATGTTGTCGTCCCTTTCAAAGATTAGTTTTTGTGACCTTTAGTATATTGTCTGAAATGAAATGCTTATGTTAGTAAACTGACCATTATGAGAACAGCTGCAAGTGGAGTGTGTCTGCGGACATGAATCATAGACAAAACCTCAGGGAGCTGGCCTTCACGTGAAGCTACGTAGAACATTCTGGTGAACACACACATTATGACAGACAAAATGAGGAGAGACACCATGACATTCACTTGATAATCAACACAGTCACATTGTATGATTAAAATCAGCTCTTTTTCAACATGAATCATATTCCCATGGGCAGTTTTCTCATTCCCATTAAAAATGCCTCAAGTGTGTAGGTTCAAAGATTTGAAAAGACAACCTGCTTGACTAACTGTGCCTGCATATTTTACAATAAATGCTAGTTTACAAAAAAAGAGAGAAAAAGATAGAGGTGTCCTTTGTTTCCCTCTCTGAGTAGTTCAGATTTTACTTGCTGGTTAATGTGACACTCTGAAAATTCCTTGATTAGGTTTAGGAAAAGTTTAAATTCATTAAATCATTGTCACTTTTGTTGCACCGTAGCACAGATGCATAAGGACACCTTGTGTGCACCACCAGCAACTTTGACAAAACTGATGTATTTGACACTCTACACATGACACACACACACACACACACAGTATAAGCATACTTAAGTATACTTAATACCACAAATTATTGCAAAGTTAGAACTTTTGTTTAACTGCTACAGGATTCTGTCGTGAGCACATCGGCATACATACTCTAGGTGTTTTAGCAGTGACACGAACCTTACCTTGACAGGGCAAAGACGCAGCCGTTCATGGTGCCGTAGCAGGACAAGGCTACAAATACTGGGACGGCGATAGAGAAGTTCCCCAGAAGCCTCTCTGCAAATGTCTGTGGATTTCACAAAGAGGACATAAAGGGAGACAGATGAGCGTTTGTTGGTCATTTGTTTGTATTGAATGTCAGATGGAAAGCAGTGTTCAGGTGACAGGTGTATTTGAGACTAGCTCGAATAAATCAACTTGCAGGAAGTGTTGACTAAAGTTTTCTAATATTTTCAGTACAATGTTGGTGACGAAGCAGCACTGTGGTAGAAGGAAACAGGCCAACGAAACGATGTGAAAACATCAAAGCTGAACGACGGCCTTTCTTTAAAACACTTCATGGAAGTTGGATCAGTTGCATCCGAAGCATATTCAGGCAGACGGTAACTGAAAACACCATTGGATGTAAGGTTACACTTGCAGTCAATCAACTAAGCACTGACCAAGCAGGAGCAGAACTCCACCCTTCAGAGATAAGCTGCACCCTGCATACAGGATTCATACAGTAGCATGACCAGAGCTTTGAAGAACTAACAGACACTATTAGTTGTTTGGTGTGCAAGAGCTTTGTTTAAAAAGCAGAGGGATTATCTTTAGTCAGAGGAACTAAATGAAAGCGGAACATTTATTTTTAAAGGTTCTGTTTAAATACATGTAGTACACGTTTTTGAAGGACACAAGGTCCACATTAGTACAGTTTCATTTCTAAACATTTGCTGCACTTGTACTTTTGTCCAAAGTTTTAGGAGCCCTGGGTGTATGTTTGAAAATGTCCAAGTTTTGTCGTAGTGTATTGAGGTAAATGCTAAATAAAAATGATCTTTATATATGACTTCAGCCTATTCCATTCATCACTCTTCCATTATGTGAACACACCTCTAATTCAAAAAGCCTAAAATGACTAATCGTGCCTCAAGCCAAGCTTCTTCGAGATAAGTTCTAGACACCAGTTAAACTCTGTAATCAAGTTTGAGATGTAAACTTCTGCCCGCTGTCTATGAGAGAGGAAGAACATAGTTTAATGCTTTTATCCTATCACAGCCTTCTAAGAACACATAAATGCTCTTAACACCTGTCTTAAGGTGCTTTTATCCCTCTCTGTGCACAGGGCAATAAAACTAACTGCATTACAAAAGACCAGCGATCTCTGATCGCTATCCTCAGTCTAATAAGCAACAGTGGTTATTATTGGGGAATGTCTGTGATGTGATTAACATTAACAGGGCTGGGATGGAACAATCACATTAACAGCTGCTCGGAAGCCAAGCTGTCAGAGACACTTTGCTGATAATGACATGCTAAGTGCAGGAAGGCAACCGCACTGCTCAAGCCAGAAGTAAACACCACAGAGGTGAGACCTCAACTAAATGCTTTCAAGTAGCATGCACAACGTTTTACTGCAGAGAGCCAAGGTCAGCCCTTACAGTGAAAAACACTGTGAGATATATTTCACTATCAAATAAGGAGCCACTGCCATAATTTCAGCTTAATATAAGCTACTGATATCACATATAACATAACAAAGTTTTGCTTTTCTCGTTGCTTTATTGAACTTTCCCTGTTCCTGCACACTGCCTGTCTGTGACAAGTTTTTGTTATAGCGCATATAGGTTGGCTTCACATTTCCTGATTAGTTTAACAGTAACTGCAAAAAGCCTTCAAAGTAGTTTTTCTGATTTTTAGAGAGATAGGGTTACCATAACAGATTAATTTATTAGAACAACTTAGCTTCCAAATCCACTGTCCTTATGACAACAAACACAAAGCTGCAGACATGGGATCTTCCACTGTGTGGCCAACTGAATGCTCAGAAATAGAGCTACATAGCGTTCCCAATAGTGGTGAGGATTCAGACACAAAATAGCCCCCAAAAGTTTCTAGTTCATACAATAGTTGCCCAGCAGGGAATTACCCTGATGGCGTCTTCCTGCTTTGCAGATACCTTGCAGTCTGGAAATGGCTTATTTAATGAGTCACAAATATCCACCAGTGGAAATGTTACAGTTTTGCCACTGTTTACGTTCAGTTCTGCCATCGTGGATTGTGGCTGCTCTGACTTTACGAGTGGGAAGTTGAGTTATTCCAGATTCACATTTCAACTGGGAACTTGGAAATTCTGACTTGGGAACACACCCTATTTCTACCACCTTGATGCTGATTGGCATTTTACAACACTTGTTTAAGCAGCTCTGAATTTTTGTGACTGTTAGTTATTTGTGTTTACCCAAAGTAATGCCCCAAAATGTAGTTCTTTGATGATTCTAGTGAATCGTGAGCTTTTGATCTATGTTTTTATATGTGAATTGTTACATTTTGTTCAGGCATAGATGTCTCTTGTCTCTCGTTTACATATTTCTCTAAGTTATTTTTTTCTGCTGAATATTTTGCTTTATGACCAAATTGTCAACAAAGTTACCGTAATAGCATTGCTTATTTATTACTGATTAGCCAGTCAGATTATTAGCCAATTGGGATGCTTTACAAAGCGCTACAGAATATATATATTTTTTTAGATGATGGGATGTTTGCATTGTCTGCTCTATGTCAATCATTCTTACCCATAACATCCTTATCTGTTTACAGGCATGTTACGGTACATGCAGAGCTCAGGACAGAAACAATAATATGGGTCTCTAAATGAATGACTGTGCTATAATAAATGCACTGTCACACAATCTATTGATTCTTTCCCAAACACATATCATTAAAAAAAATCTAACTAGTGCTTTAAGGTAGAATCATTTTCACTACAGATGTATTTAGTTACACTATAATTATACACTAAGCTGATACAGATATTTTGTGAATAAGAGACATGGGTGAGGGGTCCCACTTTGAGTGTGTATGGTCTTGATTGAGGACTCATGCGGGGAAACGTACATTTATAAAGTTGTGTTGCTGTTTTACTGTTGTTGGTTTTTGCTTTTTTATTTTATTCCTAATACAATATTTAAGGTAGACGGATAAGTGACAGTTACTTTTAAAGGTTCAGTACTTACACTGTTTTTCCAAGTACTTACCACAGCAACAGCTGATGAGGCCAGGAGCTCCTCAGCTGACATTACAGTGTAGTATGCCACATTGGTGAGCACATAGCAAGAAGTCACAATTGCCATGGAGATACAGATGGCGAGTGGAACAGTCCTGAGGGCCGGAGGGAGCACACTGTTAGGCACTTGCAAGACTTACTCATCCTTCTTTCCCTTGTATATCTATGTCTGTTTTACTTCCATACATGCTCCATCTGTACAGCTTTCTAAGAGACGTAAACAGAATGTACCACCTACTATCGGGCTGATCAATTCTGCTAGCTACAACAGCTCCAAAGTTTTGCTTTTTGTGCTCATTCTTTGGTAGGCAGCACAAAACAATCAGAGTACTCTGCATTTTTTTGTTAAAAACAGAAGAGACGTCACTGTGAACACAGAGGAAACAGTATCTAATAATGTTCACATGTCCCAGATATGCCAACAGGATGAATTCACTTCAATTCAATTCAAATCAGCTCAATTCAGTTCAGTATATACTGAATATTGTAGGAATGAAATCACAACAAAGGTTGCCTCAAAGTACTCATGTTGTAAAGAGTCTACAATAATACAGAGTGACAAAGTGGAACAACAGTAACTCAGCCATGAAGTGGTAGAGCATGTAACGTCACATAGTGGGTTCAGTCAGTCAGCAGTTTGTTGATGGACCCTTCCTGTTCTAACATGAGTAACCATAGTAACTGGTAACACACCAAGATGCTGTGTAAGGCTCAGGTACAGTAGACACAGTCATTTCACTTCAAAGTAGTCACGTGATCCAATGCTGTTTATTAGAAACACTAATCACAGTGAAATTAGCCACTTTTGTCCAACAGATGAAGAAATAGGATTCCTTAGACTTCAAATTCTATTATTTATAAATAACTTTACATGACCAGAAGAGTAAGCACATGGACTAAACTTACCTTGCAGGGTTGTCCACCTCCTCTGTCACAAAGTTCAGATAGAACCTGAGTAAGGAAAGAGTTAGTTTATTACCTCCACTTATTAATGACCAGCAACAGTGTGTGTGCGTGTGTGTGTGTGTGTGTGTGTGTGGGGGGGGGGATCGCCCTATCTTGGTGGGGACAAAAATCTGAAACTTGCTACACTGGTGGGGACCAGCAGATCCTAATGGGGACCGAAATCCCAGTCCGCACAGAGTTGAAGGCATTTTTCACACTCAAAATGTGGTTTTAGTGTCAGGGTTACAATTGGGCTATGGTTAGGTATGGAGACAGTTTAACTCAGTTTGCTTTCCACTGAAACTTTAGTGCACGGTCCTGGAACATCCTCGGCCTCCCTTGATTCTCCTGCTTAGCTGTCCTGCTCCTCTTCTCTGTCGCCCCGTAGGTTGTCCTGGAATTTCACTGCAGACATGACTAACGTGTCCAAATACTAATGGGCTGTGAGGCCCTTACTCATTAGAGCAACCAGAGGAGAGTGGTCCAAAAAGAACAAACTATTCAAAATATATTATATACCAACAGGTATACATACCCCTGTCTATTTCCCTGCAGCATATACGATGGAAACGTAAAATCTGTAACTATGGCGTGAAACGTGTGGGGCAGATGATAAGCGCATGCATGTCCATAGATTTAAAATACACCTTGGTCCACATCTTTTTCTGAACTTCTACTACTTTGAAATAAATTTTTTAGACACCATCTTCAGAGTCGCTGGTCTCATATTTCAGTTTATTCGACTGGTGATGTGTATTTAAAATCTGCACGAACTGTTTAAAACTCTCTTCTCCACGTGCCCACGCGCCTATAATATCTTCTAAGAAGTGGAGATAAAACATGGGTTGTAGTGCACACTTGGCCAACGCCCCCCTTTCCCACTTGCTCATGTAAATATTTCCCTACGATGGTGCGTATCTCTGTCCCATGGCCGTGCCTTCCAGCTGTAAGTAGCATTTATTGTCAAATTCAAAGTCATTGTTTTTTTGTTTTGTTTTTTTCTGCCTGTCCCGTTTGGATCTTTAGCCATCAGAATTGTTGTCTTAAGGCCAAGAAAGATGCCAAGTGGATTTACTTTACTAAGTGGATCATCATGGCCTTGCCATATTGGTCCATTTGATTGACCTTTATTATAATTATGTATTTATTTTATTTTATTTTCGGTTGTTACAGACGAGACAGACATGACTGGGGGATAGGACAGGGGGAAAGAATGAAAGAAAGAGAGGGAGAGAAAGAAAACCAGAGGGGAGAAGAGACGGTGAGAAAGGGGGGAATTAAAAAAAAAGAAAAACAAACAAAACACCTGGATCACCTGTATGGAGAAAAGAAAAAACAGAAGAGAAAACAAACAAAAAAGAGCAACATAATAAACACAACACCATCACAATAAACTAGCTAACAGTAGATAACAATAGATACTAAATATTAAACGATATTGTGCAGCACGCAAGATCAACAGCGCACAATGTGCTTTGAGGCAGCAGCCAAGAAAGGTGTAGTTTCTGTCTGTGAACACCCGTGTGTACACCTGTGTGCACACCTGTGTGGATCAGCATGCTTGTATTCAAAAGGTTTCTCCATGTAACGATCTGCTAGGGAGTGTGGGGCCATAGCCCCGTCCACCAGGGCATGAAGCAGGTATGGAGGAGATCCAGGCCCCAGACATCCAGAGGCCCCAGAGTACGAGGACCCGAGGAGGACCACCAAAGGGGGGGAACCGTGCCACCCTCCTGGGAAGAGCTGAGTAGAGCCCCAAACGAGAGGTCGCCCAGCAGCTACGGAGCAGAGACCAGAGGGGGTTGCAGTGACGTGCCCACGGGCTCTGCCGGCAGCCAGCTGTGCCAGAGAGGACCGAGCTTCAGGCCCAGAGGCCAGAGGCCTGAGGGCACCCCACCCCCTGGCAGGAGCCCAGCGGGCCACAGGCGCCCGGCCCCGCCAATCGGCCACCAGGAGTGAGCTGGTACATACATGAGCGCCCAGTCCCAGACACCAAGAACCACCAATACACCAACGTCTGAGGGCATCAGCCACTGGCAGGGAGTGTGGTGAGGGGAGATGGGCCCCCATACCTTGGAGGGAGAGCCTGAGATTCAAAGTCATTGTTGGTAAGATAGAGTTCCAACAGATGTAGAATTTCTGCGTTATCCGGGCGCTTGGTGACCGGATAACGCAGGAAGAAGTTTTCCACCCCATCAGTCCCATCTGTGTGTTGATGCTTGTTTAAAGACTGTGTATGTCAATTGTAAATAAAAACGCTTGGTTAGGCACAACTATGGGATGGATTACCTGCAAGAAGTGGTATGTATCTTTTAAATAACTTGGATGCCTGTGGTAGAGAGATCAATGTATTGTGATTATTGCAATCCAAAACTATTGGTCTCGTCCATGTATCAGGTCGCTTGTGTATCTTAGGCAACAGATAGAATTGTCTCGAACTTGGATCGTTGGATCCTAATAAATAGTCCCGCTGTTTAGCTGAGATATACTTCTTATGGAAAAGCTGTATGACGATTTGTCCTATTTGAAGCTGTACCACAGTTTGGATAGAGCTAGGAATATTTTTATAGTATTTTTCATCTTCCAATTGTCTATTTGCTTCCAGCCTATACTGCTGCTTGTCCATTAGAACTATTTTGGACCCTTTGTCCGCCGGCTTGATTACTATCTGTCTGTTATTTTGTAATTCTCTGATAGCGCATCAAGTCCTGGATGGTATCATACAATGTATACCACTCAGGTTCCCAGACCGAGGGAAGGATGAGGGGCTCCCTGAAAAAATAATCTTCTTTAAAGTAGTTATGATTAGGGTTAGGATTAGGCATTCATTTTTGATGGTTAGAGTTAGAGTAAAGGGCTCAGGAAAGCATTATGTCAATGGGATGTCACCAGGAGGATAGCAAACCAGACGTGTGTGTATGTGTGTACCATGCGCACACTTACCATCCAGCATACGCGTACATCCCAGAGTAGAAAGCCAGTGGCATACCAGAGAGCTGCACATTACTCAGGTCAAAGGCATTCTCAAAATGTCTGGTCTCTCCTGCAAGCATGCACACACATCAACTGCCACATTTGCCTTATTGTGCAAGATGTCTTGATGCATTCTCAATCATCCAGGAAAGTAAATTTCCAAAAGTTGATTCTGGTCATCTGGACGTAGCGTTTTGTGAGAGAAACGTGAATTCTTAAATCATTTTAATATCTTTAACAATTGCAATCACAGAAATGATCACAAAGCTCTCTGTATACCTGAGGGCTACTGGAGATACTCGCCTCTCTACATGAACTCCATGGTTGAGTTATTACATTAATTGCAATAATTCACCATCAGCTGTGCAAATGTAGATTTATTTTTTACAACGTTAAAGCTGGAGGTTGCCTTCTGCAGAGGCTTCAGGAGTACGGTGCTTCATTATCTCTGTGCACAAATGACTCAGCCGGGCACACAAAGAAAAATCAGTAATTACATTTGCGTGTCAATGAGTAATTCGTTTTCTGAAGTTAATTAAGAAATTTCTTTGAATTAATAATTTGTTCACATTAGGAAAATGCTGAGTTAAACAGCCCAAAAGTATAATCAAGTTATTAAAAGTATAATTAATTTAAAGGTCAAATTCATGAAGAAGATTTATTTAATTTATTAAATATGCATATATGAGTTGCAATCTGGGCTTACGTTACAGAAATGTGGACAGAGTGAAAAAGATTAAGAGAGATAAACTGAATAAATACAACAGATCGTGTGCAGTCCAGGGCTTGGGAGAACATTATATACATAATATGTACTAACTTTACTGTTTTAAGGAATGAATGCAAATAGTGCTCACTGACACATACAGTATTGCTTCAGAGAAACATTTTAAGTTAATGACATTTTAAAGTACAGCAAAGTCTGCAGTTGAGAGGAAGACAGAAACTCCACCTCTAAAATCAGAATTTTGGTGGTGGTACGTGTGCAGTGCTAGAGAGGTGTCACTGATGATACCTTTAAAGAGCTGGTACATGCCTGGCACTATTATGATGGCAATGGCCAGAAGCTTGCTGACAGTGAGGAAGATCTGAATCCTGGCTGTCCACGTTACGCTCATACTGTTCAGGTACATAACAGACGCTGCAGAGAGAGGGAACCATGTCAAGCAGTCATACAGTGTTTGTGACCATATTGAAGGCTCACCATCAACAGAAAAGTCTAAGCTAGTCATATCACATTATTACATTTAGTAAGTGGGATTACTTTCTATGTAGTGACTAAAGATCAGATGTCCCTGAATGTTGTTTTCTGTGCTAACGTCAGTCACAACCTGTGCCTTACAGCAGCGGTCTCCAACCTTTTTTGCGCCACGGACCGGTTTATGCCCGACAATATTTTCATGGACCGGCCTTTAAGGTGTCGCGGATAAATACAACAAAATAAAACTAGTACCGGTACCGAAAAAAAGGAAATTTATTCATAACACACGTGAAAAGAACGATAAAAACGATAACAAAATAACGCTGAAAACCGATAAAAACCCTGAAAACTATACATTTCACACCTGAGCCTCAACTCTCGTGGCCCGGTACCAAACGACTCACGGACCGGTACTGGTCAGAGGCCCGGGGGTTGGGGACCGCTGCCTTACAAGAAACCAGTTTAGAATTAAAGGAAACATTTTGTAAGCTTTTTGATAACCAGATGCCTTTAGCTACATTTGGGCGTGGGGGGCATTTGTTTTTGTCAAAACATGTTTATATTATATTATATTATGATAATTATATAATATACGAATATATCAAGTGGTGTCTTTTCAGTCTTCCACTTCACTCCAGCTCACCCTGTACTGGGTTACTTGGGCCCCTCAGCCTTGTATCCCACTGACAGGCCTTCAGAAGAGAAAGCAGAGTTGGAGGACCAGGGTCCCTGAGGTAGTTAAATTACTACTGGGTGGCAGAAACTCTGGATTGGATGAGATTCACACTGAGTTCCTCTATGTTTTTGGACTCTCTTGCGTTGAGTGGAGAACTGAGGTGGAGTCTCTGTATTGGCAAATTGTGGTTACAATTACCATCTTTAAGAAATATCCCCTTTCGAGAATATTTAATGTGCGTCAGTATTTTTTTCTAACCGTTCTACAAATGTTTTGTACATTTGGAGAAAGTATCTGACTGCATCCGTCAAGGTATCCTGTGGCAGGTGCTACAGGAGTATGGGGTACCTGACCCACTGTTCCAAGCCATTGTACAACTACAGCGAGAGCTTGGAACGTCGGAAGGTCGCTTTGTTGGAAATAAGTGGGACTAATTTGCACTGGGTGCTAGACGGCACTAAGGCATTTCTGTGTCACCGATTATGTTCAGAATTTCTATGGACAGAAATTCTAGTTGGAGCCAAATTATGGAAGGCTTCAACTTTGGTGGCCTCATCTCTGCTTTTAGTGGGTAAAGTAGTTCTGCTGGCTTCATCAGAAATAGAGCCAATACCCCTCCGCAATGACAGGAACCAGTTGAGGTGGCTCGACCATCTGCCTAGCACCCTTCCTGACTGGCCTCAAGATAGACCCAGGACATGCTAGAGACATTACATCTCTCGACTAGACTGACAAAGCCCTGATGTTCCCTCAGATAAATGAGAAGGATCAACTAATTCACTCAACTTATCCTTTAGTTGGGAAACCACGATGCGATTATTCATTCCATCAATAATTTGTTGTGTTGACAAAACAAATTATACTTTATGTTCAAACATTTATGATATAAACAAAATGTCCTACTTTTGACAGAATTCAAACTCAGTTATTTACAGTGCTGAACGTAGGAAAGTTTGGCTGAATATGAGAAACTGAGCAACTATCAGTGTGTATAATCAGTGGCCCAGTTTAAAATGCTCTGAAATGCTCATTCATGTGAATTTGCTATACTGGAGATTGTTGTGCCCTATGATTGTTTAGAAGGTTGATAAGCTGAGGATAGTCCTGGGTCTTTTTGTCAAACCCCTCTTCCTTCTCATGCACACTTCTGTCTTCTGCTATTTACCCGAGCTATTTACAACACCCTTCACAACAATTCACTAAGATAACATCTGGGCATATTATAACACTCCTTATTACAGTAGCAAAGGTATATACTTAGGCCAATGGCTGTGGCCAGTTTGACAGCCAGGGGGGGGATACCACATGGCATGAACAGAGGTTCCAGGATGTACTGACCAAAGGCCAGAGAAATGACCGCCATGCCTGCAGGCCTGCAAGATGCAACCAAATATGTCAGTTTTTATATTAACATTAATTTATATAACCTTAGGTAACATTCATATGTCCATAAAAGATTATCACTTATGTTTCCAGCCTTGTAGAGTTTTTTAGTCACCTTCAACTACAGCTTTGTTTCATTTTCTGCATCTTCACCTTTGGCAGTCTCATCAAGTCAGTACAGCAAAAAAGACATGGTTCTAGAGCTAACACTGAAGGTGGTGACCAAAATCAAAGCTAATACAAAGCAAATACATGACTTCGATTCATTGCAGCTGGACATGAAACAAAGAAATGCAGTAGTGGGTATGGGAAAACAAGCATCTGTTAGATGGCAGCATATTTGTTATATTGTTATATTTGTTTTTGTGATATACATTTTTAAAAGCAAGTGAAACACAAAAGTCACAAAAATGAAATCAAAGGATCTCAGTTTGATGGGTTTTTAACCCAGCATAATACAGCTGATGCTGAAAGATCCAACATGACTTCATAGAAAGTTATGAAATATGTGACAAGACTTCTTAGAAAAAAATTACTTGGTGATGGTACATGTGTTAGATCATAAATAAGTTAAAAAAAAACGTTTACTTATACAGCACATTTCACAGACTCTGGTCTATTTAAAAGCTTTCTCAAATAAATACGATCGTGGTGATTTCCAAGCCGGCTTTCACATCCCACTGCAAGTCCCACTGTAGCAGGTATAACGATCGGAGTTTGTTTGTAATATCAGATGGGCAACTTCCTAGACATAACATTTCCATAATCACATCCTCATGTGTGCACAGTAGTGGGCTTGGTTTCAATATGAATGAAACAATACTGGCTAGTCCCAAAGGCTCAGCTTCTGGCTCATCTGTATTTCCCTCTTCATTTCCCACAGCAGTCACTCCAGCCGGGGAAATCGCTCTTTGTCCCCCTCATTCTTGTTTTCATTCTCTGCCTCCCTCTCTGTTCATTTCCCATGGTTTCCATTCAGTCCTTGTAGCCTGAGGGTAGCATAAGATTGTGCAGCTCCAAATAGCCAGTAGACTGGTTTGTACTGCTTCATCTTGTCTGTGTACACATCTACTTCCATAGAGCATTTTTTCAACTCTGTGGTACAAAGTAAACTTAGTGTCACATGCAGCCATTCAGCTTTTGCTCCCCACCAAACACAGTCTAAGAGATTATGTATACACCATTTTTTTGTAAAATAGAGACTACACAATATTTGCAACACATTAGGTGACTAGAGGCGTACGAGTTGTTTTCTGCTCCTCCACCAATTACAGCAGCATTGACTTGTGTGATGGTGATGATGTAAAAGCCTGAGATTGAGAGAAATTATTTTTGTGCTGATGTGGTATAATCTAAACTAGAGCACCCAAATGCAATAATATATATAATATAATAATAGAAATAATACTGTCATTTAAATTCATCTATAGCTTCTTGTCTTTTCTTCTTAAACTTTTTCATCACCTCCATACAACTTGTTGTATTTTGTGTTGAATAAGTCCCAGTAACTGTACAAACACATACAATTAGCACTTACATCACCACGGACTGCCATTTGGCTTTTTCTACCTTTAAAACCCGGAGAGCAGCCAAATGGCTTTTAGCTAGGCTAAATTGTCTAGTCATTCATATGTAAATTGGGTCGTTATCTGGGAATTCTGGAGGGAGGGGAGTGGGGGTGTGTGATTGAGGGCGTGGGGGAGGGAGCTGCTAAAAGCTGTGCACTTTTGTGTTCGTCTGATGCATTCTCAATCATCCAGGGAAATGTTTCAAATATCTTTTATTGAGAGCAAGTATAATTATAGTTATTGTAAATTCACATAACATAACTTATGCTCCTTTTTTTTCTCTAAACTAATAAAGCAAGTAATAAACAACAACAACAACAACAACAAAACAAGCAAACAGCAAAAGA